TCGTTGTACAGTTACTTTATGTACAGAAAAATTATCCGTAACCTGACAGTGCTTGAGCATATAATTGGATATTTAGTCTCGATTTGTTCTATACACTATTGTTCAAAACAAAACAAAACAAAATTACGAAAGTTACTGAACAACAAAAAGAGAAAGAAACAACAACGATATGTTCAGCAGCGCAATTTAAATAGCAACACTGTTGGTTGACTTGACACTGATATTAATTCGACAGATCATACCTTTAAAAGGAGCACTCAACTCCGCCGAACTGTTAATTGTTTAAAAACATTCGATAATCCAGATGAATACTTCCATCATATGAAATGCGTGACTTCATGAAAATGATAGAGTTATGACGTAACGCTATCAAATTCAGAATCGTTTTTTTGGCATTGCGATTCCGAATTTGATAGCTTTATTTCATACTTCTACCCTTTTCATGAAGTCACTCATTTCATATGTATATGTGGAAGGGGAAATTAAAATTCAGGGCAATTTAAAATTCCTCTAGAGGAAATTGAAATTTTAAGCTCCTCTAGGGCAAATTCAAACAGAGTTTTCTTAAAAAAATAGCTTATTTTGATTTCCTCTAGGGCAAGGTAAGATTTTAATTTCTCCTATAGGAGAATTTTAAATTCCTCTACCGTAGAAAAAATATACCAATATTTTAGTTTTCTCTTAAGAGAAATTGAATCTTCCTAGGATTTTTCGGATCTTAAAGTTCCATTAAGCACCAACAATCAGTATACTCTAGAAAATAAGACACTGCGTAGGCTTTTACGTTATTTCGTTGTGGAGCCATAATTATTTCAAAACGTAACGGACTGACCAAAAAGTGGAGTGTTACGTGGTTTAGCCGTGCGGTGGGTGCGAGCAGAACGTTTTCGATGCATGATGATGACTGAAGCGGCCAGTAGACTCGTTTGAATAAACCTGAATCTGATGTTTACAATTCACCGAAAACTCTGCTCGCTGTTGTTATCCATGATGTGGTAGCAGTACAGTAATGGCACATACCACTGGTAATGCACCGAAAATAAGGGTGATAAAAGAAAGTATTTCGAACTGAATATTTTCAACATTTGCTGTGTATCCCTTGTGATGTCATATTTATACCTTCTCTTTTCTGCTCATTACTCAGTCACACATATTCTTCTATTCTTTACCAGCAATACATATTGAAACAAGAACAGCGGATGAATCAATAAGAGTGTTATACTCGATAAACGTCAAAAGGCTGCAGGGGGAAAGGTGGCACCTTTAGAAAAAAAAGAATTTTTCTCCAGTACTTTGCAACAGAATCGAACATTCTACTCACGAAAGCATAGCATGCAAAAAAATTTAATGTGTCTTATTCATGATCCCATTCACTAGAATATACAAAATTGGATATGTCACACTTTTTGTATGAGAGCCAGATATGCTTTTTGAAACTTGCTCGCCAGGGTTCGATGATGTTATGTCAAAAAATAGCATAGAAAATCTGATGCAGATCTGAAATGGTATCAACGATACTGAATTTATATTCATAATGTTCAAAAGCTTGTAACTCGGTGATACACAATCGTAGAAACTTGGTGAGCGTCTTATTTTATGGAAAACTGAAGGGGCTATCTAATGATATGGTTGAAAAGCTTCCGAGAGAAACTTTAAGATCACTAGGTTTTTTCTGGAAAAACGGGTTTTTCAGAAATCTCTATCTCAAGACTCCGAGGTGTAGCATAATGTTTCTCTATCGAAATATATAAAACTCGACGTGCTCTTTCATTTGATACCAACTTCGAGGTTCTACGTTACGAAATGTGGTCAGCAGAGGCTCTACAAGTTAGGTCACATCCGCAAAATGAGGAAAATACATTTTTCTAGTCCTAGGGTAAAATGGGCTATAGCTCTTTTTCTAACAAGGCTAGAGAGTTGCGCTTTTTTACCATTGATTTTATCTGTCGTGGCGGATTCAATGAACATGTGCGTGGCCAAGTGCGGCACATGCGTGCGCTTGTGCCATAAAAGTGCAAAAAAGTCAAATTTTTTGCTATGGGGCTTCTGGAAAACTCGTTCAAAAGCTATGAAAAATCTATCCTATCGACAGAAAAATTATGTCATTAGAAAGTAGACACTTTGGGCTATCTAACCATGTGCTTTTCTAAAATCAATATTATTGCCGAAAATCGGCATTTCTGACTCAGGGACGGGCCTTAATGAAAATATATATCTATATACAGAAAAAAGTTCGCTATCTATGCGCATACTCAAAAACATAATTTCGGAATTTTTTATAAAGATATCCTTACTATTTCCGAATTGAAGATCGTTGGAAAAAGCGACTTTTGTTTGATGCCACTTTTCTTTCTTCTCAATCTGTTTCTCCTTTCGTGTGCATATAGATATAGATGTAAACTTTTGTTTTGTAGTTTTATTTTGTTTAGCTGTGCCTCATTTAGTTATCGTTAATATGTTAAGCGATAGTAGCGATATGATGAAGGATATGTTAATATTATGTGCTGATACAATGTGGATGTTAATAAAGTACCACAGTCAGTAGTATATATTATTATAAATCAAAAAGTGGATTTAAATGTATGAACTAACCAAACAGCAACAATAAAAAATTATTCCAGATATGAAAAATTCAGATCTAAGTTTAGTGATTGATATAAAAGAAGAAGCATTGTTTACACTATCAACATCATCTATAAAAACAGAAATACGTCCAAAATTTTTACTATATGTAATAAAAAATTGATCAAGATTTTATTGAATATGTTATATGTGCCAATTATTAACAGATAATATTATTATATCTGGTAAAAAATATTTCGGACGAATTCTTGAAAGCGATGCAAAACAATGGTTCTACTTTTGAAATACAATACTTGAGACCACAAAAAGTTTCTGATTTAACTTATTTAAAAGATATTAAAGAACGTCGAGAAGACAGCATGGTACGTGAAAATATCTTAAAGTTTATTAGAAAACTTACCACGAGAATATGTACTTAAAGGAGCGTTAAATAAAATGAAAAAAAAAACTGAATAATATTTTAATGCGTATTTCGTATAAAATTTAATGAGTATTTTCGTGATTCTTGTGTTTCTAGATAGGAGAAGTAACATAACGAAGTCTGTCAGTGTGGAGACATATCCCGATCCGGATATACTCCCAATCGGGATATATATCCCGATTGAGATATCATTTTTTGCAGCACAATGTTTTTCATATCCCGAACGGGATATAGTTTGAAATTATATCCCGATTGGGATATCAAAAAAATCTATATCCCAATTAGGGCTGTGACAGTTACCATTATCGTTACAGTAACTGTAATTGCTGGTCGGTTACCGTTCTTTCACCCTCACCGTGGATACCTAGATATTTAGAGATTTGACTCTTGAAAGATATACTAAACAGTTACTGTTACTTGTACGGTAACTGCTTATCCGTTACCGTTACCGAGTAACGGTGGTAACGGTAACTGGTAACTGTCACAGCCCTAATCCCAATCAGGATATCAAGAATTTTAATTTGTAATTTGTAAAAAAAATGATAAATTTTAATCATATGAGAGCTGAATATTCTTCTCCTTCTTCTTTATTCCCCCTCTCTAATGTTCCTAGTAGTGTGTTTTGTGTTCTCCAGCTGATCGAAGAGACACATATATCTTTTTAACAGACGTACATAGATCTCTTCTATTATGCATCTTTCATATGTGAGTGTAGTATAGAATATAATAGAAGATAGAGAACAAAGTCGTTAACACACACACTTTCATCTACCAAACATTTGTAACGTTCTGTTCTTCTTCGTCTTCTTATAACTATCAATAATTCACTTGATTCAATTATGCTTCCCAAAACATCAATGCAAAAACACCATATGGGTCCAATCGTTACAAAATTGAAGTCTGATAAATTGAAGCGTGCTCAGAGTAAATATAAACGTCAGCAGACTTTGATAAAAAAAGTGAGTGTAACATAGGTATGCACCGGTATCGGTATTCATACCGAAATACCGATACCGAAAATACCGAACTTCGGTATATACCGATAACGAAAATACCGATACCGAAAATACCGAACTTCGGTATATACCGATAACGAAAATACCGATACCGAAAATACCGAACTTCGGTATATACCGATAACGAAAATACCGACTTTTTTTTACTTGGAATCTTTTGGATTTTTTCATTTGAAATGAGGTATTTTAGCATCCTGGACAAGCAGAACGCATAAACAACACTCAGCTGTGTATTTTGAGCATGTGCAAATAGAAAGAAAAGAAAAACTTTGGCTTTAGAAAGCAAAGAAAGCTCTTGTTTTCCGTCCCTGATTCGTTCTGGATGTCCAGGACGCTAAAACATCTCATTTCAAATGAAAAAATCCAAAAAATTCTAAGTGAAAAAAGTCGGTATTTTCGGTATTCGGTATACCGATACCGGTGCATACCTAGTGTAACGTCGCTTTTTAACAGGGTTTTCATTCGGTGGATTCAAGAATTTAGTGATATAACAGGCATTGAATCCACTTTTGTTTTCCGAGGTGAAGATGATCAATTTTATGTCGACGGACCAGACGATGATGTTAACGCGAGTGTAGAAGTGCTAATAACAAAAAACGAAAAAACAAATGTCGGCACGCAGTATCAGATTTCCGATTGTAAAATGGTCAATATATGTATCATGTGCAGTCTATGAAAAGTCAATGAAATTCTAGCTTGCACACCGAATAAATGTGTTAGTTTCGTTCATACAAAATGTATTGATATTACTGAAGTGAAGGCCAAAGCACTTCATTATATTATGTGGCATTGTCCGCAACATCGTCAATGATCATCATCAAACATATAAACAGATAGCTATCTCTCGCCCTTTTCTTCACAGTTAGTGTTTCAGTGGTTTTTCCCTCTTATCGATTATTTCTTATTGTTTTGAGAGAGAGTTTTAATTCTTTTAGTAAGAAATGAGTTCAAATCAAAGATAAAAAAATAGCGTTGTTCGATTACTCATCATCACTGTTACTCATATATTCTAGCCCCGCACATGTCTTATTTGATAAATGAAAATGTTCTTCTGAATAACGTTTTAAGTATATTGATTGATTTGACAGTGATTGAGTCAGGAATTGTTGATAACGCTTGTTTAATACTGTACCATCCAAACCACATAGTTCTTTTTGTTTAAAAACACCATTTTTTCTTACCTGAACACGCCAGTTTTCTATTTCACTGCATAAATTGTGTTTTTTTCCTGTCTGATTATTTTGTTTATTTAAATTCAAATTGTTAATAGCATTTTTACGTATCTGTTAGAAATCAAAAGAGAACATGCAAATAATGGACTCAAAGAAGAAATACCTTTGCTGTATACTTAAGTCGCTCAAAAGATCAAAATTACGATTGATATTCAACCATGTTTCATCAGACGGTTATCCCGGTGGCAGTAAATTTTTGATTTTCTTGTTGTAATTTTCGAGAACAAAATCAAGTCCTTTGCACTCTTGAGTATTTACACTTGTACTGTAAGCATCATTCTCTCGATAAAACTGTCGTAGTTCGTCTGGCATAATTTGACGTAGAATATAATCATTTACCATTACAAATTGATATTTTGGATGTTTGCTTGAAAAAAAAAATATGGACAGTAAGTTTTTCGTTTCGTCTGACAATCGATAGTTATTTTTTCGGAATAGCAGATAGAAATGCAAATATCGTGAATAACCACAACAATGTTACGTGACTATAAAATTTATCTAACCATTTCATCAATGTTTCAAATGAAAATTTTATAGTTGATATTCTTTTAAATGAATTTATATGATGATAAATTAATTCAAACGTGTTACCGTACAGTGCGACAGCTAAGAAATCAATTGTTTTGTGATGATCGGAACAAGAACGAAAATAGGCTTTCGTCCGATCCGACTTAAATTTTAATGTTTCACCTAAAGCAGGCATGAAAACGTCCCAGTTGAAGTTCATAAATGTTCGACATGAATTCATTTATATATGACCCAATCCTAGATGTAACAATAGACAATTCAGTTCGGTAAAGTAAAATTTGTCATTCGATTTAGCTATTTGTTTATGTCCGTCTTCAAAATGTCGTATTAACCCTTCGTCTGTGTCCTCATTTTGGACCTTCATCTGTGTCGTGGGGTCCGAGTGGACCCAGCTAGAAAATACTATAAAAACTCAGTGTGTTCTTTTCTTTTCAAGCTATGCATTCATGTACTATCAAGCGGTAAAGACTCTCATTATGATGACTGATGTGTCTGGTTCCATCCTCACATCACAAAGATGTACAATTTCTAAAACAAGTTATGAAATTCTTTCAGAGTATTGAAATGAAAATCAGGAATCTTAAAATCAATCGCTTTAGTTTAGTGTACAGAAAACGCACTGATATCTTGGTCTAGGCATGTGCTGTGAATGAAAAAGAAATGAAAAACTTCTATTTTTAAATATCTTTATTTGTTTGTTCTTCTTCTTCACTATGATTGTGAAGTTTATAAAATAGTAATTTCTTTTCGATGTAATATAAATCTTGTGATACAACTTTGTTTGGTAAATTCAAAGCATATTCTATCTAGTCCTTGTCTTTGCATTGCTGACAAGTTACTATCGTGATGCTGGACGAGTGAGAGCAACATACATTCTGTCCACAATCATGGCAGATTTGTCGAACTTTTCTCCCAATCCGTGCTGGACATAGATAACATCTTTTTTTTCCTTGATTCGGCTCCTTGTTCACACTAAGTTCTTCGACAGTATTCGAATGAACACGATAACTAAGGGAAAGTAAAGCAAGTTTCACTTTTGGCATAAGACGCGGTCAATGTCGGAATTTGATAAATCAGATTCTTCTGAAACATGTTCATCAGTAGATATGTCATCCGATTCACTAGCAACATAATCATAATCATTATTCGAATCCGAATCTTGACTATCGATAAAATTATCAAGTGTTTCGTTATCATCCGTCAATATAATTCCTTGAATTCGTTTTAAATTCGATCTATAAGTTGTATTCATGATCTAAAAGTAGAAGAGTCATGAATTTCATGTCTGCTGATTATAAGTTCTCAACAATAATTTCACAAGATCGGCTACTTCGAATATGTGATCGAAACATCGGATGAGAGTGCGTTACTGGTTAGAAAAGTGTCAGCTATCTCTGTGAAAACGAATTAAGACCAAGCCTGCAGAAGGAGAGAGACTGCACTATTACGGATGTATGTGAAAAAAGGAACTGACAGCACTACTGAATCAAACACACACACACACTCCATATATATATATATATATATGAAAAAGAAAAAGAGAGGAAGAATGATATCGATGATAACATTCTTTCACGAAAACAAGACATGAAGCTAAGAGGCACAAGACACAAAGTGAACGGAGTGAAAAGAAGGAATGTCTCTAAAAATGATGTGGTTCAGAGGAAGAAAAAGAAACAGTAGCGAGGACACTCGTCATGGCTAATAAAAAAACCATTAAATGCGCGTCGTAAAACGAAGATGTGAATCTTTTGCTCATTGATCAACATACGAACCAACCAAAATGAATCTATTCGTATAGATCATTGGAATGCAAAATATGGCAGCTTTACCAAGATAAAGAATGATGCATATAACATCGTCGCCGTCGTGGGGTCCACATGGACCCATAGACTAGTTTTCTCTATTTTAGCACTATATATGAGTTATGTTTATGATATTAACCACCAACACTAGACTAGAGATTACACCAAAGGAATACCCCGAAACATTAAATCTAAAGGAAGTAGCGCATCAAAAACTGTAGAATGGGTCCGCTTGGACCCCACGACACAGACGAAGGGTTAAGTCAGGATGCTTTGTACATTTAAAGTCACAACAATCACATTCATAACCTAGGCAATAAGGTGTACCATCTGCCTTAACTGTAATCCACTTTCGAATCGAGCTCTTTTCTATACATCGCTTTTTCAAATCTCGTAATATGTATAATATATTTTCGCACGATGCAAGATTAATAATGTATGGTTCACCGATCGAGACATGGCGTTTTTCATTTTTATGAAATGATGGTAAATTATCGAAAGTATTTGATAAACGAACAGTAGCCATGAAATTAACTGGAGTTTTAATTAGTTTTTTAAGTCATTTTGGTTGAAGTGGCTTTTTACAAAAGTCGCACTTTCTTTTTTTATCGTTGTAATCGATGTCACGTGAACCACATATTTTTTTTTGTCATTGTTGGATAGTAATAAATCAATTTTTTCTTGTACCTAATCGGACACATTTCCTGAACTAAAGCATAACTCATGTGATTTTTTCGACACATTCAATCGCAATGCCGTCGATTTAGGCGTAGATACGCTAAAGCAGGTTTATGTCAGTTAAGTATTGACTTCATTACAATTGTTTGCTGTATCGAAAGTATCAGCTAACTACTGAGCATGATACAGACAATATGTCATAGAGGAGTTCAACGGGAAAAAACCTTTTTACCTCTTCTCAATCTCACTTCCAAGCGTAGGTATGTCTCTGAGGAAACAACCGCCAAAAGAACACATAGTGCGGAAATAAGTGGTTTTCGAGTTCACTCTTCTACGGTACAGCAGTAAATGAATGCTGAACTTACTTATTATTTACGGCTAACTGTTGTTCCACTATTGGTATTAAAGATTCAATAAACTTTTGTAAATATTTTTTCAAAACTGGAGTACGCTTTAATAATTCTGACATGATTGATTGTTTGCTTATTTCAACTGAATTATTGTCGACGATCATGTCGTTACAGACATTGACTATTTTAGCTTCGTTACACCATTGATTCAGTGTGAAAGTTTTTGCTTGTAAATCGACTGTTGGTTTAACAATAGTATGGATAACAGTTGTACATATACTTAAAAGAGATGATTTTTCATTTACTATATTATAGATTTTGGAAATAGTCTGGTTGTTATCAAATGATGACTCTATATCCCCATCTGGTACTTCATTTTCGATTTTCCCGTATTTTTTATACCATCGATTTATGGTGTTGTAATTTCCACTCGATTGTGTTTGACTTAATGTTGTTGATGCCAGTTTTGAACCAGTTAATGTAGGTATCATCAATGATTCGGTAAATGAGAATGGCATAGTACAAAACCCATTTACTTCAGAATAAATTAATTCGTAAATTTTACATGTTCTGTAATTGATACGTTGTGCAGTATTATCGTCGATTGTATTTAAATCATCATTGTTGTTTAATAATTGTCGAGGAAATGAAGAACCAGAATTTGGAATATATTTTAAAAATGTGGTAACATCTAATGTGGCTAACGCTCGTGGTGTTGCATTGAATAATGGTGTGCGTAGAATATCATCATTTCTACATTTTATTTTGATGTTCTTGTTAAAAGATGAAAATAACTTCATTTCTTGCTCAGTGGATAATGAATTGGTTTTAATGCGTCATATATTAAATCAATTGCATCGTTTAATTTATGTGTTTCATCTTGTTGTGTTTTATCATCATGATTTCTGATCTTCATTTCATAGTCATTATTATTGTTCAGTCTTCTTTGTTTTGGTGGTGATGGCGATGATAATTCATTTATTATACCTTATATTTGATTTATACACAGGTGACATAAAAACGAACAATTACGGTTAAAAATTTTTTGTTGGTTAATGTAATTTCTTACTTCCACATTAACATGTTTCTTATCAAATCTAATTAGTTTAAAAGGTGTTGCCGTGCCAGGCAATATGAGCATAAATGCCACAACGCCTGGAATGATGATGTTCTCTGGGCATCCTCAGAAATGCTGGCTTCACGACTGATATACGTTTTAAAAGGTACAGCAAGGTGTGATTCACTAATAAAGAACATAAGGCAGTTTATCTGCAAGAATGGATAGTTAGAAAATTCCCCGTTAAACACAAAGCACGTATATTTATATATTGTCGACGCATGAGAAAAGAATTGTGTTTCAATATATGTGAGCATCGAAAGGCAGAAATAAAAAAACACGGTCGACGTGGAAAGCGATTAGATCAAGAGTATATCCCATTATGAGCAATAAAAGATTAACAGCCTATTTCCCGATCGGGATATAAATTCGCTAAAATTAGTTAAAGATTTTTGTTTGAAAAAATAGTTGTTGGGTGCATGATGCACTTTTGATCAAACACAACAGAATCCGATGTAGTTTTTCAAGCTCTTTCTAATGGTGAAGTCAATTGACTCCTCATATTGACATCGATATACAGACACTACTACTGCGAAGAAACTTTGACCTTCACAATAATGTGTACAAAATAATAACAACACATATAAGCGAAACCAAAAGATTTTAAAAAGTATCACAGAGATGAATCCCTATTGGTTTCTAACACCATCACCTCTCATTTGATTTTGTACGTGTAACCACCTACTTTTTTCTACTTTTTCTATTTTCTTTTATTCTTGCGTTCCTTATGTGCTTTATGTGATTCATTCTATTTTTATTTTTTATTTTTTTATCTCTTAATTTACATGTTTACGGTGAGGGAAACACCATGTAGGATAACTCTCCGGCTATGTAATGGTTCGCCGAATTAGTTCAGGGAGTTCTCGCATTTAATTTTAATTTTCCTTTTGAATAAAAATAGCTTATATCAATTCATAAACACTTATGTATAATTAATTACATGATAAATTTATACAACTTGTGTCTAAAATGGGGCAACTGTGTCATATAGTACAACTTGTGTGCGTCAGATCAGGATAAAAAGTGGAAAAGAGTCCTCTATACTTATTCGAGTTTTAATTTGCGAAGTAGGCAGAATATAGAATAAAATCATAGCCAGCACTACTTCTTTTGAACAGAGAATAAACGAACATGTCAATAAAGATATAAAATCTGCCTCTCCTTATTTTATTCTTTAAAGAGACATAACGTTCTATGTACATAAATACGAGTCATGCTGTATCACGCAAACAATTATACTATTCTGAATGTACAAAAATCTCAAGATACGCTTTTCTAAAAAATACGCCGAATTTTCGTTTAATCTTATTTTCATGTTTCATTTCCACTTTATTTCATTTTCTACATAAATTATGTGAATATTCACTTAATAACTAAAGTTTGAACACATATTATAATTGATTATCATGACCCGAAGAGAAAGCCGGAAAGTCATGGTAGTCAAAAGGAACAGTTTATCTAGCTGCTGAATATAAACGAAGAAAGTATGATTTATTAAACGTTAATCACCAATATTGAGAACCACATATCTCAAAAACAAAACGGGATCTTTTTATTTCGAATATGTAAAAATCTCGAGAAAAAATCAATCAAATTTTGATATGCTGTAAGATAGTGTAGGAAAGCGTGAAATTAAATCACGGTTACCGTAGTGAGATCTTTTGGATGTAAAACATAATCGACTATTCCTAATATCTATGACTTCCAAACCGCTTTTACATATTAGCAAATGATACGATCAACGAGAATATATATATTACCTATAATTAATTAGCATAGTTAATGTGCTCCTTGATGTGTTATATATAAGAGTTAACCAAAACTAATCTGTTGGAAAAAATGTGCTGTATGCCGAGCTATCTTTTAGAAAAGGGTACAATTTACTTCCTGAGATACAGAGCTGTCAACATCGCTGTGAATCAGAGTTGTAACCGATCCAGTCCGGCCGGATTCGACCGGTGGAAATGATTGCACCGGCCGGTTTTTATTCGTCTAAAGAAATTTTTTAGTCTTAAAACTCCCCCATAGAATTAAGTCAATGAGTCTTACAATTTTCTAGATATACAATATTTTTAATAAAATATGTGGAGAGCAAGTTTAAGTTCTTTTATCAAAGATAATCGTATTGTTACAAAAAATATCAATCTTGTTTTCTTCAATTTGTCAAACTTTTTTCATTTTCTTAATTGAACCTTTTTTTAATTCCCTGAAAAGCTTAATGAGAACAGTGTTACTTGAGAAAAACTTCTCAGTTTATCTTATTAATGTTTTGTTAGACAGCAGAGTTAAGGCGGGACCGTCCTTCAAACAGAAATATTATAGTAATATTATTATAGCATTTTATGTAAAGTCTAAGTGAAAGAATTTAAGATTTGCAGATTACCAATCGAGCGGCAGGTAGATGGCCGTTTTTACTCACGAGAGAAATATCGTATATTAATCTTTGGGAAAACTTACAGATATGCGCGACTGTAGCATCACATTTGTTCTCCAGTATTAATCAAAGCGTGATTAAAGAATATAAAAATGGATATTTTTTGAAGCCTCTCGTTCTAACCGACAGTAAATGACCTAACATATCGGTCAGCTGTTGCCGGTTTTTACCGATCTGAAAAATTTTTTCGATCGGCCGGACCGTACCAGTTTGAAAATTCTGGACCGGTTACAACTCTGCTTTGTATTCGAAAATAAAAGCGCGGCTGATATATACCCTTCCCTCATCAGGGTCTGCTCCTGCTCCTCAAGTTAGTATTGGGAAATAATGCTTTTCACTTTGATAGAAAATTTTACTCGCAAATATCTGGCACAGCAGTGGGAACGCCATGCGCCCCACCTTATGCAAATCTTTTTGTTTTGCTAAATGAATTGAAATTCTTCGATAAATGTGATTGTTTTTTATATCGATTTTTCCGATATCTCGATGACATTTTCATCGTATGGTATGGAGACAGGAAAATGTTGGAGAGTTTCCTTGGTTCGCTTAATTCAATTAACATGAATTAGAAAATAGAAAATACCAGTACGAACAAAATAAATTATTTAGATGTACTAACCGAAAAGGATCTTTTACAAAACCGACTTATCATAAAAGTATACAAAAAGCCAACAGATATTTTTCAATATGTTCGTGCCAGCTCAGGTCACCCTGGACACATTATTAAAAATCTAGCTACAACTTTAATCCATAGAGTTAAAAGGATATGATAAAACTGATAAATGGCACGAATATGCCGATATTGTACGTCATTTACGACGGAGAGGCACTGTCTGTCTAATATTTTGTCAAAAATTCGAAAGGTGGATAAACTTGAGAGAATGAAATTGTTGTTGAAATCACAAACGAGAACTACGCCGCTAGCTTGTTCATTCAAATCATTTAGAACCTTCAGGTGCATTGCCTCCCGAATTCATACTGGATCCCGTTCAACGAACTTTTACGGTCTGTTCGAGAAAGTATTGTCGTTTCTGTTAGGTAAGTGACGATACTCGCATAATCATCACCAGGTTTGGTGGTGAGATCCATTTCGGACAACGATTGAGATGCGATTCGAGGAATTTGGGTTATTACATTAAATGTAAAAAATGCTATGACGATATGTAGGATAAACTAGAACCCCCGTGAGAGAAAGATTCTATCGCCACACATCAAAAATATGGATCATTTGTACTACCTGAATAGGCAAATATCTTAGTGAGAACGAACACTCAATTAGAGACGTTTTCATGTCCCATTTGAGGGAGGATACTTAAACGACGACCATCGTACGGCGAGAGAATCTATGTGGATTAGTAAACTCCATTCTAATGTTAACATCAACGACTGAAACCGGGTATTTTTACTGTTTAATTTTTGAATCCTGCAGAAAAAATGTTTTTTAAGTTTAAAGCTTAACTACTATCCATCCCAAAATACAAGACCCGTGGGCATTTTTTGAATAGCTTTTGATAGGAATGAGATAGAGACCTGCGATTTTCGCTGTTCAATAGCCAAGACTTGAGCAGAACTTTTCACAAGCGG